TTCACAATTCTCTAGCATCACTTGGTGCTTTGAATGGGATCTTGACCATTCCTTGTGTTGTTGGCTGTTGCTTGCTTCCTAGCACTTGCTAGCCTGGTGCTTGAGGGGTGCTCTTTGTTGTCTCAGTCTTAGGTGAGCCCCAGGTACATGAGTTTTAGTGATTCTGCCCCTCCTCCAGTGATAGGAGCTGTTTTAGCCAGTTTTGTGTTGCTATGACAGAACAAACTGAAACTGGGTAATTTATGAAGAAGAGAGGTTTATTTGGCTTACAATTCTGGGACAGATGCATCTGGCATGGGCCTCAGGCTGCTTCTACTCATTGTGGAAAGTGGCAGGGAGCCAGCAGGTACAAGCAGATCACTTGGCGAGAGAAAGCAAGAGAGGAAGCAAGAGAGAGAGAGAGAAGGTGCCAGGGTCTTTTTAAGCAACGAGCTCTTGTGGGAACTAATAGAGCGAGAACTCACTCATTAATCCCCCCTCCCCCAGGGAGAGCATTAATCCATTCATGAGGGATCTGCCCCCATGACTCAATCAGTTTCCAACACTGCCACATTGGAGATCAAATTTCCACATGAGTTTTGGAGGGGACAACACATCCAAACTCCATCATCTGTCTCCCCCACAAGTATACATACTAGATTTTTGTCTGCTTTATTGACTGATACATCCCCTCCATTTAGAATAGTGTACCTGGCAAATTAAGGATACTCCATAAGCACTTCCAATAGCATGAAGGAAAGAACATGGAGGTTCAATTTGGATTCATCTTTTCTCAAGAGTGCCAGACGGGCCTGGATTTTATGCAGAGGCTCTGGGAAAGAATCTGCTTCCAAGTGCACTCAGGTAGTTGGCAGAATTTGGTTTTAGGACTCAGGTCCCCGATTCCTTGCTGGCTGTCAGGTAGGGGCCTCTCTTAGCTCCTTAAGGCCACCTGTTTTTCTTCTCATGTGGTCCCTACATTTTCAAAGCCAGAAACAGTGTTGACTCCTTCTCATGTTTCCAGTCTTTCTGACTTTCCCTTCTGCCACCAGTTGGTTTCCACCTTGGAGTGAAAGTTCCCTGCTAATGTTTGCAATGTAAGCCTCACCGTGTCATTTTGTTTCCAGGTTTCTTAGTGTCTTTGCAAAGGCTCAGGATCAGACTTTGTAACTAAGGTGGCTCCCTCCTTTCTGTGTAGTCCAGCGTGTTTTTACTCTGCAGAGAGTCTCAGAGGCTGAAGCTGAGCCTCCAACTGAAGGTAAGTTCTCAGCAAGAGAGCAGAACTTTTGTAACCAAGTGAATTTGCCTAAGTCCTCAAGGTCCAGGCATCCCAGATATAAAATAATTTTCATAAAGAAGACAACCCTAGGAAGCAGTAGCCTACTTTGGAAAGAGAGGTCCCTTGTCTGAGACCTCTTTATGTAGTTTAGGGCTGAAGTTGGAGAGTCACATGGAGGGTGACAGCTACCAGACTTTGTACTAAAACAGCCCTGACCCACTTGCTGACAATGAATTTGGGTGATATCACACCAAGGGATCATCTAGGATTTAGCTGAGCGAAAGGTTCGCTAGGAGGAGAAAG